ACAAATCAACCCTCCGGAGACTCTGTGATCTCAGCAAGGCTTTTGATGTATAGTTTCTCTTGATGCCTCAATCAAATCAAATCGAATCAAATCAAAATATTATTTATTTCGCAAAAAACAGACATAACATAATATTATGATCCCTGTATATTACAATATTATTTATTTTTCTAGGTTATATTTAATTTTCTATAAAAGCTTTTTAAATCAAGCGAAATTATCCCCCATAAAGGATAATTTAATCCTGTGAGTGGGAGAGAGTCATTATATTAGAGATTTTTTTTAAATTATGAAAAAAAGGAAATTTGAACAAGTTAAAAGTTGAAAGTTGCGCTGGAGGACTGAGCGTGAGCGAATGGTGCCCCCCACCTCCCCCCCTACCCTACCCCCAAAAGATAACCTGCTACTGTACTTCCCAAGCACACACAAACCCAAGCGCGCGCGCGCGCGCACACACACACACACACACACACACACACACACACACACACACACACACAAACATACACACTGCTGCACTCACTCCGACACCAACAGGCGGCTGGTGGCCCTAGGGCCGTCAATGCTCTGTCCCTGTGGCGCGGAATCGGGAACCGCTAGCATACGTGCTTGCATACAATCGTTCTTTCACTCTATCAGCTGATGTGAGTGTAAATTTGTTGCCTGTAGGTTGAGATCAGTAAATTTTGAGCAGTTGATCTCCCAATGCTTTGTAGCCATAGGGTAATTTGTTTTTTGTATTTGACCAGTGGTCCAAAATAGTTTTCGCGTAAGTTGTAGGGCAGATTGTTGTAGATAGTGTGAGCAATATAGTAGCAATTTGTTGTAGAGTAGGTTCTATTTAGTCTCGGTAAATAAATTCCTCCACCTAGTGCATGTCTGGTTCTGTATTCGTGTGTTACTCTTTCAAAAATGTCATTCGAGTGTTTGTTTGAATATGTAAATAGTCATGGTTCGAATAAACAATTGTCTGATGTCGAGAACGTTCATTTAATTGAAGAGAGCATCCGAAGGGTAGCGCCGACTCCTGCCTAAAGGCTGCTTTTATTATCGCTTTTTGGGTGATAATTAATGGCTTTAAAATATAACCATATGCACAGCCCCAGGCTTTTATTCCTCCGTCAAGTAGGGACTGCACGTAAGCAAAATATGCAATTCTGATTTCTTCAAACTCCAAAATCTGCTGTAACTGGTTAAAAGCATAGATATATTTTCTTAGTTTATTATTTAGATATGATACGTGGTCTGCCCATGAAAGTTTAATCAATCATTATGCTAAGGTATTTATATTTTTTCACTCTAGCCTATCTATCACTGGACAGTCAAAATCCGAATCAAAATTAGCACAAGAATGAATTTTCAACTCATTGATGAGTGTATCACCACGTTGACTAAAAGCGATTGGCATGAATTTAGTTTTATCTACATTGAGTGTCAAAACATTTTGATCAAACCATTTTTTAATTTTTGAAATACCTCTTTCTGCGAGGTTGAAAACTGTCTCCCAGTCTTTCTTCAAATAATACTAGAGTGTCAACTGCGAAGAGATAAAACTTCCCTTTCAATGTCGATTTTAACTAGATTATTTATATATATTAGAAATAATAAAGGACCAAGGGTACTTCCTTGAACTACGCCATAGTCTACTTCAGCTAAATTGCTCTGAACTCCATTTATGACTACAAATTGTTTTCTATCTGAAAAATATGGTTTAAACCATGCTAATGAAATGTTTTTTATTCCAATTAACTCCATTATCAATTAACTCAAGTTGTCACCATAAATGGGGTCCTCCTCCTGTATCAGGGACATCCCTCATGATGGGCCATAGGATCCGAGCTCCGAACCCTGTAGTACTACATGGCTCGATGCTCCCCCCTCCTTTTCAGTACAATAGTACTGTAATGACTTTATAACTAAATGGTTCAACCCTAATTTTAGCTGACGATACTAGATACTATACTTTTTAAGTATCTGGAGGAGGAGACATAGTGACTACCTATCCTGGCCATCTTTTGGTGCTGGCAAAAATGGTTCATTCATATAAAACACAAGACAATGACAATAGATTCAGTCCTTGCTTTGCACTCTTTCTAAAGCCAATTAACGACAAGAATGAGGCTGTGAAACTTCTAGGGTTCTGATTAGACCCCAGGCTAAGCTGGAATACACATATTGATAAAGGTGTGTATGCAATATGTTGGCTAGAGATTCCTCCTAAGAAAACTTTGAAATGTCATCTTGAAGATCTACCGACACTTTACAATTGTGCCTTTATAATTGTTTCATAGCCATCTCATGTACAGCTTGGCACTGTGTGTGGCTCAATGTAGACATAAGACTCAATGTAGGCATAAGACTCAATGTCTTATAATATACTCGAAATAAATATCATATAAAGTATGTGTTATAAGAATGTATAATGTATTATACTGTAATGTAATTGAACCAAAGTCTGTATTGTATTGTAGCATTTAAATAAATACTTAATACTACAAAGCCTTGATTCACATCATTGAAGAAGAGCCGTCCGTATACCAGTTTCTGACGATTCTGCTCAACACCAAAGCAGAATTCAACTGAAAAGGGGTTTTGGTTTTGTGAAGACTATACTGCTTGTTCAGGACATCTGAGGTCATATAATGCACTGGATCTGGGCAGCACTATCTTGGGAAATGGTGCAGTTACCTGTTTAGTGGCCATATTTCCATTCGGTGGACAAAACTAAAGTCTGCTATCAACGCCCACGCCAAGCCAGACTAAATCAGTATTATCATGTAATAGCACTATCTAAGTTTTTATGTATATGACCATTTTTATGTTTGTGTCAGACTTGTTTTAATTGCTTTTTGATGAGTTGCATTCTTAGAGAATGTTGTCTTAGAAACAAAACATGTCAGATACTGAGCAGTCTTAATCACACTATAAACATATACAAACATGAATTTTGGAAAATATTACTAGATAGATATATATGCTGATATGCTGCCCTGCAGATTCCACTTCAATGTGTATGTCATTAGTCAACCCAAGAGCAGGTTACAAAGTTGGGAAGGGCCACTCCTAAAGTCAGTAGATCACAGAGTTGTGCTAAGCTTTTGCAGGCTTATCAGCTTGGCTATGTTTCCTGATTGTTTGTCTACCAGACCAAACTGTCAGTAATGCCCAACTTAGTTGGGAACAAACTACCAGGGCTACACAAACTCAAAACTACTCCCCAGTATAATCTGTTCACAGTCCTATATAATCTGTTATGTAAATGTTCACTGTACCTAAAAAGTGGATACTAACTAATACTAGCCTTAGTAATAACTAAATATTTAGTAGTAACTAAATACACCTCTGCTGTATTTATTTTTTATTGTAATTTTAACTTTAAATTCCCATGGATTTTGCCTCTGTCTGTGTATCTATATAGCTATCGGTATACCTGCTCATCCTCAATTTCCTTGTTTAGGCTTGATTACAAAGACTGTGGAAAATACTTACAATACATATAGAGAACCAAATCAAACATCAAATTAATATAGGTACCCCTAATAAAACCCCATCAACTGCCAATGAAAACGTTGAAAAAAGGTGTCGCGAAACGTGTGAAATAAGATAACTTTAGTCTGGTATCTTATTATTTTTATTTTAAATGTGTGTATTTTAGAACTATAATGACAAGGACTATGTTCTCCTGATTTCAGTGACACCCAAAAATGTTTATCTAACTGTACCACTATTAAGTCAGTGCTTAAGGCCTCAGAAATTTAAAAAATTTAACAAATTGGTATACTATTATTTTAAATCAACCATTTGTTTAAGCTTTTAAATGTAATCCTGTATGGTTCTTTGCTAGAATATTTTTAGTAATCAGCATTTTAACATGTTTGGTAGATGAATCATAGACCCTACTTCCCTGACCTTTGAGTCCCTCTCAAAATTCAATCATGTCTTCTCAACAATATTCTCATCTGTTCCTTATAGAGAATATTGTTTAACAAAAGTTGTGATACATTTACTGAGCAAATTAAAAACCCTATTGACTTTTCATAAATCTCAACACAAGCCTCTTCAATGACAGAACAATTTTTGAAAATGCCATACTTGGCAAGACATATGTAGTGGATAAAAGCAATATATTTGAACTGCAAGACGAGGTATGTAAATAGTTTAGAATTAGAACATTTTTTGTTGGGTCTAATATAACTTATTTCTGCACATGTAATTAACCAAAATAGTATTTGAATCAAATTTTGAATATTTCATTTGTTTATTTTAAAACTAGGGACTAAGCAAGCTACTAATATTTCAATAAAAAACACACTTTATTACCTTATCTGTGGCAGCAAACCTAAGTATTCATTATTACTAACGTTATTTACATAAGGAATTAATCTGACAACTTTAAGGAAAAAACTATTCAGGAAAATAGAAATGCCATTAGTCTGCAGGTTCGCTAGGACGGGGTACTTATTTTTACTGTTGTTGTACTCAATTAATAAAACTAGACTTATGTTATCTCTGAACTACTGTTTTTCCTCTGATATTGAAGCAAAGGAGTCAAGCACATGACACAAAAATTGCTTTTAAATAAAAGAATCACATTCAATTGACTTGTGTGTACCCTAACCATAGCTAATGATTATTCAATTGACTTGAGTGTACCCTAACTATAGCTAACGCTTATTCAATTGCTATGGACTGAGTAAGTTTATACAGGTTTGGAGTCAAAGGTCTTACTAGCCCTAGTAAAGAGACATCCTTCGTGATCTGTTGAAATCATCGTTCACCAAACACTCCACTTAATTCTTCCAACATCATTTTCAGTAGAACGCTACACAGCTGTACAACAGCCTCCCTCTAGCATTGAAGACCAAGCAGGATCACCAGCTATGAAGTTGTGTATTTTAGTTTTACCTCAGTTTATTTTGAGATGGTTAACGCTAATTGTGTTTGGTTAATTTTGCTCAATAAATTACTTATAAAGAGCAGGCCGAAAAAGATATTACAGATTTATCCATCAAATATTTTATTACTAAAACCAACAAAACACTTCTATATGTTACATATTTTTCTCTAAAAACTAAACTTTCCTACTTAAAAATAAGATCGTAACCTATAGACTGTGTAAAAAGTTGTAAACTCAAAATAACCCGTTATGTTGTTCTAAGTTTTTTACAATCTAGGATAACTGTAGGTAGGAATGTTTAAAATCACATAGTTATCACCATTTTATAAACAAATATTGGCAGTTAATAAAGCTGCTAAAACTGTACTCCTTTATATGTGTATGGTGGGTAAGAAAAGGGAAACTCTACCCCGGGCATCCACAAAGCTGGGCTGGATGAATCATGGATGGCAGACCACAACCAACTGCCCATTGTTGTCTGTTTAATCAAGTTTGATTGGATTGACACAAACCCAAGGCTTTGACTTGGAGGCAGTATCGGTGTGGCCTGCAACCATGGATTCACATAGAACTGTTGAGTAGAACGATGCTCAGGTTGTAGCGGAGAAGTAGGTTGTTGCTTAGGAGTAGATGATTGCTGCCTACACTGTTGAGAGTTGTATTAAGGAGAACCTCTTCTTAAAGCGAGTTGCCTGTTGTTTTCTTCGTCCTCTCTTCTCAAAGGTGGTGATGGTCTGCAGTCTCCATTGGCTTCAGTCTCCACGAGACGGAACTACTAGTTTGGCCTTACATTAATACACTAAGTAGAAATTCACTATTCAGCCATATCCCACAATTGTAAACAATAAAATATGTTTTTAATAATTTTTTGTTTAAAACATACGTTACTTTCTGGATAACACAATCATAATATAAGGATGTAACAAAGAGCACAAGGGCCTAGGTTTTTAAGATGTTTTGTGACAATATCAGGCTTTTCTGAATGTGAAAGAGTCCAAACTGGCAGAAGACTCACCAAACTTAACACTATAGTATATATACACAAATATAAGAATATTTAACTGTCACTAACAGCATTTTTAACTAAGAAATACAGAGTTTTCTGTAGGCCCAATATGGTGGCCAGTAATTTTTTTGAGACAATGATGCCAAAAGATTTTTTTTGTTAATCATGGGGTTTATATTGAATAATAAAATTTGGTAGTACACAACAAATATCTTTGGTTGAGAAGTGGGTAAAATGGAGCACCTCTCTGGTTCCTCTGCACTCCAATACTATCTAATCTAATTTCATCGGCCTCAACTAGCTCTTCTCTTGACAGAAGCTAAAAAGAGACAGAAGACTTGTCAGGCCATTACTACCTTTGAGAAGAGAGGACAAAGGAAACAACAGGCAACTCGTTTTAAGAAGAGAATCTACTTAATTCCACTCTCATCAGTGTATGAAGCAATCATCTCCTCCTAAACATCAACCTACTTCTCAGCTACAACCTGAGCATCTTTCTACTCAACAGTTCTATGTGAATCCATGGTTGCAGGCCACACAAATACTGCCTCCAAGTCAAAGCCTTGGGTTTGTGTTAATCCAATAAAACTTGGGCTCAATGTCTCCAGGCACCCAACCTATCGGATTAAACAGACAACAATGGGCAGTTGGTTGTGCTCTACCAACCATGGTTTATCCGGCCACGATATTGGGCATGAAGAAAACTCCCCTTCCTTAGTTGAAAATGCTGTCAGTGTCAGTGAAATATTCTTATGTTTTGTGTATATAGTGTCAGTTCAGGTAAGCCTGCTATCTTAACAAAAAACCCTTATAACAATAATATAGTTAGAAAACTAAGTCAAAACTGAACCAATTAAGAATTTTTTTTATATTAACAAAGACAAAAAAGCTTAGAATATTTATGAAAAAAAATATATAGGTAAAAAAACTCTAGGCATTGCTCAATAAAAATTAATAAACACATATTTTCTAAAAAAATCCACACACATTCAGATTTCTTTAGATGGGTGTAGTTAAACATAACATATAAAATGTGGCCTAAATAGTAAGTATCCAAACAATGTAGAGCCCCTTTAAATTAATACCCGTTAGAATGCACCAGAGTGAGATGTTTTTCACTAACAACAATAGATTATTTTCACTAGCTGCCTTGGGTACTTTGACGCTTGTCAATGTAAGACTGCACACATTCTCGCATTTCGTTCATTACAGTCTTTTGGTTTGGAGCACTTATAATGGCTGTCCCAGACACAATCATGTTGGCTCCTGCCTAGAACATCAATTAAATCTCTATTATATCACTACATTGAATGGAGGGAAAAACTATTTAACACTTTAAATATTGTTAAAACTACAATTCTTATAAATTTTCCTCAAAAACCTGAAAAAACACAAAACTTAAACAGTTCCTTTAAAGTAAGTATTTTAAGCTTGTGAGATGTTTAGAGCGAAATTCTCCTAAAGGGAAGAAGCAAAAAGCATAGGTGCAACAGTAAGAACTGGACCTGGGACCGAATTACTTGTTTGTTGTTGAGACTCAAATGTTCTTTTACCTCAAACGAGCTATTTAATTAGTTTACATACAAATTGTACAGTAGAATCTCAATAGCAAGTTTCTCAATGGGTCTATCAAAATTAAAGTTTATCAAAGTTTACAACATGTGATTAGGGGCGATAGAAAAATCAAAAGGATTTGAAAATGACACTTGTTATCAAGGGTGAATTGTAATTGAGGATCTTGCTATTGAGATTCCACTTTAACTTTTTGTGGAGAGACCGAGACCTTTAAATATAAAAAACACATACCGGTATGCAATATTGAATATTTAAATTTTTTTACAAAGTCAATTAATGCACATAAAATGCTTGAAAGAAAATTCATAATCTAAATGACAGTGTAAAATAACTGGCAGAAATAATCTTATCAAGTAGGCCTAATTGAACAAACAATAAACAACTACTAACATTAACATTAACCCATCTTAATGAGTTTGTTTGCCTATTCAATTGTTATAGTGTTGTCAAATAAAAAAATGTGCAATACTATACTGCTCATTGAAATTCTAAACACAGTCTATTGCAGAATAGTGAATGACATTTTGCGTAGAGGATCATAACAGTTGGATCATAGCTTTATAGATGTTATGTTTGATCTAGTAAAAAACAAAAAAAATTTACTATCTTTGGTTTAAACGCCTTAAAGAGATTATAGAATATATATCGTAAACAATTAAAAACACAGACTCACTTCACAAAGTCATTGGCTGAAATAGAAAAGTAGAAATCAAAGTATTTGTGACTCAAATCTGATTGGTAATTTGTTATCTTAATTGTTTGTGATGCCATTTTCCTGTTATATTATGGGGTTTTATGGAAAAATCATAAGGTAAATATTAAAATTTAAAAAAAAATCAAAAGAAGCCTGGATATAGCCTACTATAAATAGACCTAATCCACATACCAAATTTCATCAAAATCAAACCACGGTACAGTCTGTAGCTCTGTACACATCCACACACACACAGACCCCATCACTTAGAAAACCTCAGTTCAGGTGGGCCCAAAACAGATATTTCCACCCAAAACTCAAACTCTAAAAATTTGACAAAAACAATACTTTCTCCCTATATACTTAGTATAGGGGGAGAGTGAAAAAGCAACCGTTCAACTTGAAAAAAGCTAGAAAGAGCTTACAGGGTGTCTCAGACCACCCGGCTTCTATAGCTCCAATATGAAAGCAAATGGAAACCTAATTGCATCTGGAACCCCCTATTTTGACCCCAAGGAATTCAGCTAAATTATTTTCAAACCCAAAAAATCACTCCAAAGGCCGGGTGGTCTGAGACAGCCTGTATAAACTTTCAACTCTTTAGTATTACCTCTGCACAAGCTTTAATGGTGCTTGGACCAACTCCTCCATCTACTTCAATGTCCAATGTGGGGTAGTTCTCCCGGAGCCATTTCACTTTTGCCATCATAGGATCCATGAACTTTTGTCCACCAAATCCAGGTTCCACTGTCATTATAAGAATCATGTCTGCAATGTCGATGTATTCTTCTACTGATTTTGTAGGAGTTCCGGGTTTCAAGGCGATTCCTACCTGAAATATAAAATAGGCCTATGATTTAGTTACCATAAATATTAGGCGTAATGGTGTGGCAGGTCATATATCAATGGCCTATTTGCAAAACAAATAGCCTAAATAAAAGATAGCCAACATATAAAAGCCTAACTATTTAATCAGTTACTAGCCTAGGCCTAGTTAGGCTCAACTAACTAATTTCTACATAATGTAAATTATGAATAAATAGTACAAACCTTCTGAAATACCTATATTACATTAGTAGGAAAAATAGATAAAAGGAATGGTATTTATTTAATAAAATTGTATTCTGATCCTTATTCTATTATCATTATTCTACTGCTGGACGAAATAATGAAAAAAGTGAAAGCTAAAACTAAAAGTCTTGTCGTGGGAAACTATCAACTAAGAGCTGTTAAAATTTGCAGCCTAGCTTTTGCAGACGACATAGTGGTTTTGGGAAAAAACAAGGAAAGTTTGCAGCATATATGAAAATATGGGCGGATGAGCTGTCAAAAAAAGGTATGAAAATAAATGCAAACAAAACCCAAACCATGGTCATCAGTAGGAAAAAGGTCAACCATCAAATCTCAGTAGGAAATAGCAACTTTAAACAGGTATCAACATTTAAATATTTAGGCTCAGTTATTGCAGAAAACGGAAAAATAGAAGAAGAAATAAACGGAAGGGTTGCAGCAGCAAGTCGCCTCTTCTGGTGCATAAGAAACCAATTTCTAGGTAAGAAAGAAATCTCAAAGAAAACCAAATTAGCAGTCTATAAATCTACCTTCGTGTCTACCTTGACCAATGGATGTGAATCCTGGACTTTGACTAAAAGACTCAAAAGCAAGCTTCAAGCAATGGAGATCATGTTCTATCTTAGGAAAGTAGAGAACAAAACTAGAAGGGATAGGATAAGGAATGTTGCAATAAGAAACACTTTAGATGTTAAGCCCTTAACTACCACAATACAGGAACAGCAACTAAAGTGGTTTGGGCATGATCATCGTATGCCCACAACTCGGCTTCCGAAGATGATGAAAGAGGTCAAAGTTGAGAGAAAGTGCAAGAGAGGTAGACCGAGAAGGAAATGGGAGGAAGAGATACAGTAGAGGATGCTCTGCGTGAGAGGGGCAGCTCCATTCGTGAAGCTCTTAACATTCACTGCAGACAGAAAGTCATGGGGCGCCTTGTAACCTCGACACCAACAGGATTAAGTAAGTAAGTATTCTGATCCTCATAACATGTTAAAAATCTGCATTTATAATAGAACAACCAAATCAGTGGGTAAAAGCGATCGCTCACGACAAAAAACCGCGATAAAAACTAAATAATGATAATACATATTTTTCTGCCGAAATCGTAAATAATGGGAATAATTTAGTAACCAAGTACTACCAAATAAGTTTGCTATGACACACCTTAAGACCTCACAAAACATTGCAGACGGAAAATTAGATTCAAATCAAAAGGTGGATGACTTTGTCTAGTTGTCATAAATGTTTGTGCAAAGTTTCAATTTCGTATGTTTAACCATTCCTTAGAAAAAATTAATAACTTAAAAAACAAAATGGCGGCTGTGTGAGTAACTAAGGACTTCCGGACAATTTAAATATGATATTTAGGTATGTTAACTACCCAGGAACAATGCCCTAAAATATTGGTAGAGAGTTCCGGGACACCCTGTACCTATATATATATACATATATGTATAAAAATTTGAACGAATGGTGTTTTTGGCCTCTGGGGACATCAAAATGAAAAAGTAAATCGGTCCCGGGTCTAGGTCTTACCGTGCCACCTACGGTAATGGTAATAGCTACTTCCCTATAGGGAAATTCGCTACAAACTCGCTTTCTTTTTGGTTAAGATAGAAAAATGTATTTAACAAATTATAGAAATAACATTTTAAATGTTTTTATGAGTTGGAGATTCATAATGAGCTCGAGCAGTCCAAGAAGTAACACAAATAAGTTTTTTACTGCCACTACTTTTAATTACTTTTTTATTTACAATATAATATCTTTGTATAAAATACAGTATTATTACATTATCTTTATATTTCACATTATATTTTGTGCTATAAGTGGACCAAACGACTACTGCAATCGTGGCAAAAATTACCAATATTGTCCTCGGTAACTACAAAATCGTGAGTGCCTTCCATGTTTGCGGGATCTACATCTTCATCTCCTGCGGTTGCAAGTAATAGTGGTTATCATCCAAAATCAAAGATAAAATAGTAAACATATTTCGGGGCTCGGATATATTCTACCTTTAAGACAAAATCGTCAACATCCCACGCAAACGCGCGTACAGCATTATCGTCCCCTGCGATCGCGGCAAAATCGTGAACACGAAAATGAATAGAAAATTAACGAAATCGTCCTTTGGTCACAACAAGTAGTTGAGTCCCCTGCCGTCTTAGTGAAGTTAAAATTGTGGGCATCTTCCGCGATCGTAAAGGAATTGTAAACATATTGTACATCCACGGTGAAGTAATGAACATCTTGCGCCATCGCGAGTACATTAACTTCTATTATGATCGTGAGAAAATCCTGAATAACTTCCGCGTTTGCGAGGACATAATCTTCGTCTCCAGCTATCGCCACAAAATCATTAACGTCTCTGTCTCGGAGCAATCTTGAACTTTGGCGGTTGCAAAACCTGATTATCTTTACCCGCGATCGCTGGGAGTCGTGATATTCGATCGCGCAATCTTTGCAGACGCTTTCGGCGCTCGTGAGGAGATAAGTTTGACTCGGAAAGTTGTACCCCCTAATTCTAACACATTATTGACGAAATTAATTTTCTAAAAAGAGAAATAAAACATTCTTTTGAGGCCCCTTCCCAGGGCGAGGCCCTCGGCAATCGCCGTACCCAACGTTAGGGGAATACGGCCCTATGGGGCCTATGTTGGTGCGGGGCCTGAGGCAGACCCCCCCAAGGTACGTCACTTTTTGTAAGCCCGTAAGATAGGGGAAATGTGATAAAAATTGCCATAGTTGAATCACTGATTAATCGACTGAGTAGGCCTACAGACTTAGCCAATATAGGCCTACTGAAATTACTTAATAGATTGAGTAGTTAGAGTCAGTAAAGACATTAGCTACTATTAATGAGTATCAACATTTGTTTTTAATCATATTGAAGGATTCCATCTAAACATCTAAGTTAAATATTAAAAAAAAAACTTTTTGAATAAATAACTCTTTAACAACAGACAATTTTTAATTAGTTTTCTACAATTATTTAAATCTATTTTACTTTTAAAATTTGTAGGAAAAAGGTTTCAAAATTTATATCCCACACAGATCTTTTTTTCATAGAAACTGACATTGTTCTTTTGATAAATTGATACGTCATAGTTTATATATCTATCGTCGAATCAATTATCTTTTTTTTATTTAATTTGATTTAAATATTGTTAGGAGGAAGTTTTTCCCAATAAAAGAGCCTGAAATACCAATAATGTAGGCCTATTGATTTTGGAATTTATAAAAATGATCAAGCACACAAACCTTCATTCCAGATTCTCTAACTTTTCTGCAAGTAGTCTTGACATCTTTGGACGCTTCCACATGGAATGTATACTGGTCTACATGAGACTGTGACATATCCTCAATCCACTGTAAACCAAACAACATTGATGTGTAGGTTAAGGTAAGTGTGGTTAAGTTGGTAGCGTCCATGACAGACGATCCATCAAGTACCGGTAGTTGTGGTGATGGGTTTTAGACTACAGTAGAACCCCTCATATCCGGCGAGCACGGGACCAAGGGCCTAGCCGGATAACGATTTGGCCGGATAAACCAACCTACTATAAAAATGACAATTCATACCTAATAATAATATGTAGGCATAATCAATAGGGATATGTAGACAAAAGTATCATTCAAATCTGTTCTGGAATTATTTTTAGAAGAATAACTTTAACATGTTTATAAAATGGCATAAGTTTACTAGCTCAACCAAGTATAGCAACACAGTACAATGATAAACAAACAGGTAAATAGTGAGAAGTCACAAGTCACAAAGATTGCATCTAAAAGTCTATAGGCTGTGAGAAAAACATTTTGATATTGGCTTCCTGAAAGGGGCCGGAAAAAAAGACCGGTAAAACCAAGGCCGGATATCAGAGGTTCTACTTTTACGGAAATAATCACATAACTTAGGGGGCATAATACTTAAATTATTCAATTACATTTAACTTACTCTTTCTGGTTAACATAATTTAGATGAATTTTCAAGTAAGAGCAAGGCACGTTAGGCTAAGTTAGTAGGCCTACCTTGGATTCAGGGACATAACTAGGGGGGGGGGGGGGGGGGGCACACGGGGCATGAGCCACAGGCGCCAGTTGTTGGGGGCGCCAGTTGTTGGGGGCGCCAACACGGGCACAGATTTTTTCAAACAAAAATTGTTGAAAATATTTTTAATCCGCCTTGTGTTGCAAAAGAAAATCATTATATTTTTAATTTTTATACAGGGTGGAACGAAGTTAGTGTTAAAAAATTTTATCTGTTAAACTACTAAGTATTGGTGACAAAATGGCACCAATTTAAGTTTCCATACCCTCACAGGTAGGGAATAACGGACAATTTAAGATTTTTTCAAAATATTTGTATTTGCTTACATAAAATGGCCATAAGTGCACTAAACATTGTTTTTATTCAAAATTCATTGTCATTTTTAGAATCCTCGTTAAATTTCCAATATTATTAGTACAAATTCATTGGGATGAAACATCTGTATAAGCCCTTATTTGGCAATGGAAGTTTGAATTTGTGATTTTTTAGAAGAAAGTAATAACTTTTTCCAAAGTGTTTCTATGCTACACTGGACTCTAGAGAGTGTCAATTATTACTAAAAACTTTGGCGGTTAATAACCTTTAAAATGATGTATAAACATCTACTGTTCGTTTGATTTGTCGTTCTCAAATTTAAGAGTTTTTCTTTAAAAAACACGGAACGGCTAATTTTTAAGTTCCTGTAAAAAAACATGTATTGGCTTCAATGATATGGCAGCAGCTGCTTTAAAAATCATGTTTAAATGGGTAATATTGCAATTTTCAGAATCATTGTAAAATTCCTAATATATTGAGGAATTGTTAGGATTAAAACCTTATGAACCTATGTTTTGTGATGTATCTTCATTTAGGGTTAATTTTTTTATTTTTTACTAGCATAACTTAAATAACGTTTACGGTGTTAGTTCTATGGTACATTCAACCGATGTGCGAGATTGAATTAATGCAAAATACACAACTTGAACAATGATAACAATGATAAAGATGGGTCATATGGTGTGGTTTGCTGGCATGCCAGGTCGCCAGACCTCTAGTCCACTGGACTTGTTTTGTGTGGCTATGTGGAGTACTTGGTCTCCTCATCTTTAGTGGAAGATAATAAGGAAATTTAAAACTGGATAATGAATGCAGATGTTCTAGTCAGAGGAACGTTGTATTTTAATGTTACTGTTGGTGCCACTTGCAAAAAAACTTGGCTGTATATCAGGGAAAATAAAGGAGATTTTGAAAAAAAAAATAAAACTCAAGTAGTTGGCATCAAATAGAAGGCAACTATTAAAACGTTAAGGAAGTAAGGAACAGTTATTTAAGTTTCGAATATTGTGTGTTTTAGAATTAACTTTTATTTTTTGTGTAAATAAGTTAAACTACGTACTCGTACATAATTTTAGAGGTTACTCCATTGGAAGTATTTGCTTATGTTTAGAAAATAATCTTAAGTTAAATGTACCATGTGTGACTTTGAACAATATTCATTGTATTCAAAAAATTAAAATAAATAAAAGCTTAACATGTTTTCACAAAACCTACGTTTATATGGATGTCAATCCTAATAGATCTTTAATATTCTTTTAATAAATCTCACAAGGATTCTAAAAATTACAATAAACCCTATTCAAATATAATTGTTATTGCAGCTATTGCCAAATTAGTTAAGCAAATACATGTTATTTTAAAGGGAGGCGATTTTGGCCATTCCGTGTTATCAAGAGAAACTCTTAAATTTGAGAACGACAAATCAAACGAACAGTAGATGTTTATACATCATTTGAAAGGTTATTAACTACAGAAGTTTTTAGTAATATTTGACACTCTCTAGAGTCCAGTGTAGTATAGAAAAACTTTGGAAAAAGTTATTACTTTTTTCTAAAAATCACAAATTCAAACTTCCATTGCCAAATAAGGGCTTATACAGATGTTTCATCTCAACGAATTTGTACTATTAATATTGGAAATTTAACAAGAATTCTAAAAATGACAATGAATTTGGAATAAAAATAATGTTTAGTGCACTTATGGCCATTTTATGTAAGCAAATACAAATATTTTGAAAAAATCTTAAATTGTCCGTTATTCCCTACCTGTGAGGGTATGGAAACTTAAATTGGTGCCATTTTGTCACCAATACTTAGTAGTTTAACAGATACATTTTTTTAACACTAACTTCGTTCCACCCTGTATAAGTCTAAGAAAGTAAAAAGTGAAATGATGAATGATATGTGACTGATATACTGTTTACGAATCATGTTAACGGTCCGTATGAGCTTGTACGGAGCGAGTATGAGGATGATCATACTGCGTTGTCTGTCTGTTGTTGATGAGTCACTACACTATAAGAGCTATAAAGAGAAAATACGTACTGTATTCAATTATTTACCACAAATATCTCGGCCTTGTAGTACTTTGAACTTGAGGTAAACATTTTAAGAACTAAATAGTATTAATGTATTGTACCGATGGACACACCACACATTTTTTAATAAGATTTGTAAGGAACTAGTTTCAGTCCAATTGAGGGGGGGGGGGCAAAATAGGTGTTTGCCCGGGGTGCTGAATAGCCTAGTTACGTCCCTGCTTGGATTTTAGGATATTTAGTTTTAGGAGGAAGGAGGGGGAGATATTTTTTGTTTTACCTAGAAGTTAGGCTATTTCAGGCACTACAATCAAAGTAGGTAGGCTAAGCTTAACATACATTTTCTTGAAGGTAAAAAAATAACTTAGGCCTATCAGTATCTAGCACCATACCAAAGTGATTTGTTTAACATTTTAAGTTAATAAGTCTACTGTGAATTAGCCTAATACTGTACCCCAGAGAACCACTGTGCGTGTTTCTAAGCTATCACAATGATTAACACGTTCAGTGCAAGGGGCGGGAATTCTCGCCCTGCGGTACCGATGCCACTGGTGCGGGGCGAGAAATCACGTCCTTCACCAATGTCAAAAACTTTGCTTCAATGTGAGCTCAGCCATTGCCGGGGAACGTTGTAATTGTTGCCAGCCTGTAGTGTAAAATGCGAGCTTTATTTTGGTGTAGGTTGGTACACTATTAAACATTCCCGTAAAATCCTGTCTGGCAATGCTTTTGTCCCGTTTTCGGTGATTTTCTCTATTCAAGCCATATTACAAAGACTATGGTTATTGATCCAGGCAGTGCTGCTACCTTCCAAGGGTGTTTCAGTGAACTACGTCCACTTTCGGGGTAGGCCTAGCGCAGAACAATCACCACTGCTCTTTAGTGATTCGTCTTACTGAGATATTTCCCATAGTATTTTTTATTTCCCTTAGATATTTCAATGCTAATAGTAATCGCTGATTCAGTTAGCGTGCCGGGGCTCCGCCTGAGCCTCGCAGCAATTTACGAGCGCTTGTATAAAGGTTTTCAGCAGTGAACGTGTTAAGAAAGATAATCCATTAGGAGATTTAATCTGATTCATTCACATTTTAGCCCTGGGCTTTTGCATTCCGTATTAAGTCACTAGGCCTTGATCATAACCTTAAAGTCACAATAAAGGGTAGGCCTAGGGCTTGAGTACTGGTAGCCTAGGCCTATAGTTTTAACTTACCTGATCTGGGTTAGAGACCATCATGTGTGTCTCAAAAAATACATTTTTCATCTTGCTTGCTAAGCATTTAACCACTGGATGCCCAATAGTTATATTAGGAACGAAATGGCCATCCATAACATCAAGATGTAAATAGTCTGCACCACAAGAAACTAACTTCACCGATTCTTCATGCAATTTAGACAAATCTGCATTTAGGATAGATGGTCCAATTTTAGCAGATATCCTTTCAGGTCTCTTCGCTTTCTCCATCATGAAAACGGATAGTTAGTTTAAAACCTACTAGAACTAGACACGTACTAGGTCATGAGATGTTACATACAAGCAATTTTCAAAAAGTCATGAAGTCAAAGTTCAACGACAACGACGAGACGAGCACGACCACGTGGTCTCAGGCACGGCCGCCTTTGGCCTTTAACTCCAGGCCGCGGCCTTCGAACTGGCAACGTCGCAAGTGGTGTTGTAAATTAACCCTTGCTGACAGACCGCCACCGCCCACCACCACCCACCACTGCTCCAGTGAACATGAAAACCATTACCGCAACGATACACTGGACAGCCGTAGGTCTCGATGGTGTAGTGGACAGCGCACCGGGCTGATAATTTGGAGGTAGCCGGTTCGAAACCCACCGGAGGCATTAACTTTTTGCCTCGAATTTTTATCATTATCAGCAAGTTTGGTTGGTTTGGTTAGGTTATTATAGTTTAATTTTATAACTAAAAATTATATAATTGATTTTGAGACATTTATATAATTTTATTTTATAAACAGAACAATTTTTGTTAGTAGTACTTCATTCGAAATATTCATTATCAGCAAGTTTGGTTGGGTTATGACAGTTAAATTAATTTAAATTAACCTACAAACGACACGTTTTGGGGTCTGACTTAGGGGAGGTACGATTGAGGCATTAGTTCAAAATTCCTCCGTGAACAGTGCTGTAGTAGAGAGCACTTTGGCAATGAAGCACTAATCGCTAAATAGTTCTGTTCATAAAATAAAATTATAAATGCCTCAAATTCAATTTTATTATTTTTTAATTATAAAATTAAACTATCATAACCTAACCGAACTAACCAAACTTGCTGATAATGAAATAATATAACAAAAGTTAAGTAATAGAAAAAATAATTCTGTTTGAAAAAAAAAACTAGAAATTGCTCAATTAAAATTTTATAATGACTTAATAATAAAATTAAACTGTCATAACCGAACCAAACAAACCAAACTTGATAATAATGAAAAAATCTTGGACAAAAAGTTACTGCTACCGGCGGGATTCGAACCCGGGACCTTCAGCATATCAGTCCGGCATGCTAGCCACTAGACCACGAGGCCGATGGCTTCAGGTCGTATTGTTACGCTAATGGCGTTCCCTCAGCTAATAAGAAGCCCACAGCTGTCATCGTAGCCTCTTCTATACCTCCCCTGAGTAAATACCCACGTTTTGACAGCGACAGTGATAAAGATAACAATTTCCCACGAACAGTTCGGCTATGCACGGTATGTTGCGTTCTGCACGGCGCGGTGGTGGGCGGTGGCGGTCTGACGGTAAGGTCTCGTGTATTGTAACAGCTGTTTTTTTATCAACTAATGTTATTTGTGTATTTACGAAAGATTGATTACTGGACTATGACATCATTTATTGACTCCGCTTAAAAATGTACATATATAGATTTTAATTCATATTGTTTCAATTTTCAATTCTGTATGTTTTATTTTCAATATACTCAAAAATTTCAAAATCATAAAATGAAACTTCCTGCTAAGATTGCACGACCCCCAAAAGGATATATCTGTATATTTACTTGGAAAAATATTAGATGGGGGGTCTTGACTTTTTATTCACCCTGTATACTCTACTCATTGAGTATATCCGATCGCAGTTAAGATTAAGAAGATGTAAGAAGTAAACGAAGAAAATAAATTACATTGACCCGATTGAGCGACATCGACCTTCGACTTGAGTCATATTCGATTCGTTCGCTAATAAATGGCTATCGGCTCGTTTCGCGGCCCGTGGGCTCGGCTACATGGCAACCACTAAACCACTAAACTGAGGTGGCTGAGCAGAGCTATAATAATTAATTTATTTATCTCAATCAATGACGGCAACGGCAAGCTGAACCTATCTTATCTTATCTGTGTTCGCTGGTTAGAGCTGGTTAAGGTTATCGGCTTCATTTTTTGTTTTTTTTTGCATGGCATATTAACTTATAACCAGGCAACATTAAAAATACTAAGTATTGCATTGCATTTGTTTATTGCGAGATTTTTATCTCGGGTGTTTTAGCGAATTTCCCTATAGGGCAGTAGCTATTACCATAGGTCTCATGGTAAGACTTAGGCCCGGGACCGATTTACTTTTTCATTTTAATGTCCCTAGAGGCCAAAAACACCATTCGTTCAAATTTTTATATATGTATATATATATATATATATACATATATATATAGATTTATATATATAGATTTATATATATATAGATTTATATATATATATGTGTGTCCGTGAACACGATAACTTGAGTAATTTTTATCCGATTTTAATGAAATTTGGTTTGAAGGTGTAAGGTGGGATAAACTTGAATGAGTTCGAGATCCAGCATGATCGGACCATGGGAACAGGGTTTTATGGGGTAAAAATTGGTTTTTCTCACTTCTTACCCTCAAAACACAAAATTTCCCAATTTTTCTCTAAACCTTCTTAAAGAGCTTAAAAAAAAAAACAATTCAGTATATCAAAGTGTTTTTGTACGGTTATTGGTTACGGAGAAAACTAAAAAAATGGTAAATTTAAAATTCCCATGTTATTCTTATGGAGAATATTGTAAAATGTTGTAGTTTGCTTGTTTATGGATATATTTTGATCAAACTTGGCAAATTTATTTATTTTATAGTAAGCTATCAATATTTTACTAAAAACACACTACTTTTTTAGTTTCCTTGTAGCAGCAAACCTAGGTACTCGTTAAACCTAATTCAATTTTCGGCAACCACCCTAAAACACCGGTCACACAGCTATTTCTTTATCTACTGCATTCAAAAGTCAACAGCTGATCATATGTCTTTGTTTATGTAACAAATACTGCTTCCATAAGGATTACATTGAAACTTTGAGACCCAGTGGGGCGGATTCCTGAGAGACTTTTTTAACGCCATATACAGGGTGTCCCGGAACTCTCTACCAATATTTTAGGGCATTGCTCCTGGGTAAGAAACATAGCTAAATATCATTTTTAAACTGTCCGGAAGTCCTTAGTTACTCTCACAACCGCCATTTTGTTTTTTTCAGTTATTAATTTTTTTCTAAAGAATGGTTAAACATACGAAATGGAAACTTTGCACAAACATTTATGACAACTAGACAAAGCTACCAAAAAATTATCACGATTTTTCAAATTCATAAAACAAAATGGCGGCCATTTAAAATTGTTGTATAATCAATGGTTTTTGAGTTATTTAAGAAAGAAAATTTTTAATGGCTGCCATTTTGTTTTATGAATTTTTAAAATCTTCATAATTTTTTTGTAGCTTTGTCTAGTTGTCATAAATGTTTGTGCAAAGTTTCCATTTCGTATGATTAACCATTCTTTAGAAAAAAATGTATAACTGAAAAAACAAAATGGCGGCTGTGTGAGTAACTAAGGACTTCCGGACAATTTAAATATGATATTTAGGTACGTTTCTTACCCAGGATCAATGCCCTAAAATATTGGTAGAGAGTTCCGGGACACCCTGTAGATGTTGGCACTCACCGATATGGTCTTTATCACCATGCAAAATTTGATAACGATTGATTCAGCCGTCTAGGAGGAGTTTGCGTATTACGAAATGCATAAAAGTCAACGTATAAGAGCTTCCCTCAATAAACTGATAATCTAAATAAAGTGAACCGATAATATTACGATGAAATTATTATTTTGTAAACAGGATTCATGTAAACCAGAGGTTTACTAGTTCCATTCTAATAACTGAGCGGAGCGAAGCAAAGCTCTTTGGGATCGGCTTCAATGTAAAACTTTGTAACACTATCACACTCAATAACGGCTAAACATATTTTTGCCAAACTTACCAAGCTTTTCCGACGAATGTTTGGAAAGCTTTGAACAAAACAAACTCAATTTCTAATAATGCCTATACAGGGTGTTTGTGAACTCTCTCGAAAAAATTCACAGGATTATTCCTTGGGTTAATACATGAATATTTTACATTATAAACATGGGTCGCCGGAGCCTCGTTTTCCGTCTGTCTGTCTGTATGTGTTTTTTTATAAATAACCTTATAACTCGAGTTTGAATCGAAATCGCCTAATGAAAAGGCGAAGCTTCCTCGAAAAGCGCGATTGGTTTCGACGGGGCAGCGTGCGGGTGTCAGGGTATGGGGTCCCTGGTCCCAGCACGACGGACTGCTTGAAACAATAAAATCCGAAGAAGTAAACGATTACAATCCTAAACAGTGCGGGTGTCAGGGTATGGGGTCCCTGGTCCCAGCACAACGACTCGCTCGGAAACGAATAAAAACGACGAAGTGATCGATTTCGACCCTAAACTGTGCGGGTGTCAAGGTATGGTGTCCCTGGTCCCAGTACGACGATTTGCTCGAAAACGAATAGAAACGACGAAATGATCGATTTCGAACACTAAACTGTGCGGGTGTCAGGGTATGGTGTCCCTGGTCCCAGCACGACGACTTGCTCGAAAACGGATAAAGAACGACGAAGTGATCGATTTCGAACACTAAACTGTGCGGGTGTCAGGGTATGGTGTCCCTGGTCCCAGCCTGACGACTTGCTCGAAAACGGATAAAGAACGACGAAGTGATCGATTTCGAACACTAAACTGTGCGGGTGTCAGGGTATGGTGTCCCTGGTCCCAACACAACGACTCGCTCGGAAACGAATAAAAACGACGAAATGATCGATTTCGACCCTAAACTGTGCGGGTGTCAAGGTATGGTGTCCCTGGTCCCAGCACGACGACTGGATAAAGAACGACGAAGTGATCGATTTCGAACACTAAACTGTGCGGGTGTCAGAGTATGGTGTCCCTGGTCCCAGCACGACGACTTGCTCGAAAACGGATAAAAAACGACGAAGTGATCGATTTCGAACACTAAACTGTGCGGGTGTCAGGGTATGGTGTCCCTGGTCCCAGCCTGACGACTTGCTCGAAAACGGATAAAGAACGACGAAGTGATCGATTTCGAACACTAAACTGTGCGGGTGTCAGGGTATGGTGTCCCTGGTCCCAGCACGACGACTTGCTCGAAAACGGATAAAGAACGACGAAGTGATCGATTTCGAACACTAAACTGTGCGGGTGTCAGGGTATGGTGTCCCTGGTCCCAGCCTGACGACTTGCTCGAAAACGGATAAAGAACGACGAAGTGATCGATTTCGAACACTAAACTGT